TACAGCAAATATAAGATGACTCACAGCCTCCCTTCAGAAAACATTTTGTGACGTGTGTATTTGCGAAGGCTTTCACGGCCGGGATCTAATGGTTGTTGTGGTTTTTACTGGCTCTTTGGCCGTGTTCTGAAGGTTGTTCTTCCTGACATTTCGCCAGTCTCTGTGGCTGGCTGTGCTCTCCGTGAAGCATAGAGAGCACAGAGTGTTGTCCTTGGAAGATGCCAGTCACAGAGACTGGTGAAACGTTAGGAAGAACAACCTTCAGAACATGGCCAAAGAGCCCGAAAAACCCACAACAGCCATTTTGTGACCTCCTTGCGCGTCACGACTGCCAGGTTGGGAAATGCTGCCTTATAAGGAAGAAAGGACCTAGAATCTGCCCCATTGGCTTCTATGTGGTCTTACACTTATGAAAAAATCTCTTCCTTAATGAAGCCCTAAGGCTTTTCCTAGTGCCTCTTATCTTGATTATGTCAGAATAGTATAGAAAAATGGTCACAACATTATTTTTCTGCATGCCCGCCTTGTTCCAATGCACTTAGAAAGATCAGCATCCAAAGCAGCAGGGAGATGATGAAATAATTTTTCTGGAGATTGGGGGGATTTAAAGGAATTCTGTTCACTAGGAACTTTGCACCATTGTTTCTCCATCAACATTAGCTTACTTATGTACAGGGATAGGGGTGAGCAAAGTGAAAAAATTGATTGATGGAAACAGTAAGAAACAGGCCTGAATTCAGTAGTGTTTAGGCTTGATTTCAATTGAAAAGAGGCTCTTTAAACCAGTACAACTTCATGCCCATCACTAATGCTGATTATTTTTGCATTATCTACCTTTTTTCTTTTTCTTTCTTTCTTTCATTCTTTCTTTCTTTCTTTCGTTCTTTCTTTCTTTCTTTCTTTCTTTCATTCTTTCGTTCTTTCTTTCTTTCTTTCTTTCTTTCTTTCTTTCTTTCTTTCTTTCTTTCTTTCTTGGTGGCCTCTGCTCATTTTATGAATGAGATATAAATATAGCCAAAACCTTTATTTTGGTGTGGGAAGTGTATTTATAACCCCAAATAAAAGCCAAATTTGTGTAGGTGGTGCAGAGTGAAACTATGTAATGATTATATATATCTAATCTTTGTAAATTGTTCAGTTTTATTTTTAATGGTATTTTGTTGCCACCAGCCTGGATAAATACGCAACTCTTGCCCTTGGAAGCCCAAATGCTTTTTTAAATCTTTCTTGTAATCAAATCCTAGAAGGCTGGGAAAAGCATACTAAAAATCTGTTAACCAGCTGCAATAACATGTACAATTGAGTGGAAACAGCTAAAGCTACCAAGAGTTTTTATCATTAACATTAGTTAGATGTGAATTATACTCATAAAAGTTGAACTGACATCCATTTTATAAAAAGTATAGTTTTTGCTGAGTTCTCATAGTCCAAAACATATAGAAATATATACACCTTTTGTTTCTATTTTATTCTGTTTTGCTTTCATTCCATTCAGCTTTCAAGCCTGCATTTTGCTATATAATACAGTGTTTAATAGTTCACTTTTGCTTATTCTTTGTACTTGCTTCAATGCTGTAATTTTTGGGTGTGGTTGTTAAGCATTATGGGTTTTTGAAATGGAGTTGTTGTATATAAGGGAATGGTAAACCACTTCTGAGTATTCTCTACCTGAAAAATCCTGAAAGATGTCACCATAAGTTATAACTGATTCCCTTCTTCATAGAAACATAGAATAATGAAGTTGGAAGGGGCCTATACATCAAATCTATATAATCTGTTTTCTTCGCTCCATAAGATGCACAGACTTTCCACCCCCCTGTTTTGTGGGAAAAAAGTGAGTCTTATGGTGCAAAAAATACAGTAACCACCTGCTCAGTGCAGGAATACAAATCAAAGGGTATCTGCAAGGTGGTTTTCTAAATTTCCTTTGAATACCTCTGGTGTTGGAGCACTCACCACTTCTTGAGGTAATTGTTCCCATTGCCATACTGCTCTAACAGCTAGGATGTTTTACCTGATATTCAACCAAAATCTGGCTTCCTGTAACTTGAAAACTGCTACCATATCTCTCCTCTGTCTTCTTTCCTCAAGGCTAAACATGAGACATTCTTTCATTCTTCCTCATAGAGCTTGGTTTCTAGCCCACTGATAATCCTCGCCCTCCTCAGAACCTGTTCCAATTTCTCCACATCCTTCTTGAAGTGCAGTGTCCAGAACGCGTTTTACCTGATATTCAACCAAAATCTGGCTTCCTGTAACTTGAAAACTGCTACCATATCTCTCCTCTGTCTTCTTTCCTCAATGCTAAACTGTTCCAATTTCTCCATATCCTTCTTGAAGTGCAGTGTCCAGAACTGGACACAATACTCAAGATGAGGCCTAACCAGTACCGAATAGAAGGGAATTAGTATTTATTTTATTTTATTTATTTATTCCATTTTTACCCCACCCATCTACATTCGGGAATCTACTCTCGGTGGCTTACAAAGTATAAAGATAAAAACAGCATTCAAATAACAGTGGCTTACAAAGTATAAAGATAAAAGCAGTATTCAAATAATATTCATTTTTAAGAACAATAAAAATTAATAAAGAAAACAGGATCAAGATGGGAAAAGGCAGCTATGTAATGGGAAGGGGAAAGGCCTGCTGGAAGAACCAAGTCTCCAGCTTGTTTTTAAAATTCTCAGTGTGGACGACAGTAGGATCTTCGTGGGTAAGGTGTTCTAAAGATGAGGGGCCACCACCCAATCGTGGGAGCCATCCCATCAAGTTTCAGTTATTCCTATCAAGTCATATTTACCCCATGAACTAGATTTCCAGTTCTCAATCATGGGAGCTATCCCATTGAGTTTCACTTATTCCTATCAAGCCATATTTACCCCATGAACTAGATTTCCAGTTCTTCTTATTTGTTTCCCATACTCCCATCATTTGTGTATAGACACCAGAGATCGTGTGTTGTGGTGCCTGCTTTATATTGACATTTATATTAATATGATTATTAATGTTAATGCTAATATTAATATTATTATTGACTCCCACGACACCGGAGATTGTGTGTTGTGGTGCCTGCTTTATATTTACATTTATATTAATATGATTACTAATGTTAATGCTAATATTAATATTATTATTGACTCCCATTCCTCTTATTGTGCGTAAAGCTTCATTTCTCTTTACCTCTGTGCTTGCATCTCCTTTCCCCTTCCAGTTCAGTTTAAAGTCCTCCTGATGAAGTTTTTCATGCTGAGACGAAACACATTCTTCCCAGTCCTTGTGAGGTGCAAGCCATCTTTTGCTAGCAGCCCATCATCTAGAAAACTTAGCCCATGATCCCAAAAAACAAATGTCTCATGTTGACACCACCTTTGTAGCCAGTCATTCTCATGAAGTATTTCTCTTTCCCTTTCTTATTTCTCTTCCAAGTACTGGTAGGATGGATGAGAATGCTATCTGGGCCCAAAGTTCTTTTCCTTCCCAGAGCTTTTTAGTCTCATGTGATGTCTTGGCTATGTCATTTGTTCCCACATAGATCAGAAGGAAGGGATTATACCCTGGAAGATAGAAACAAATCTGTGGATTTTATGAGTAATTACAATCCTTCTGTCACATCCCTAGTCTGTGCTCCAGGGAGACAGAATACCTGGTTGGTCCATGAATCTTTCCAGCAGACTTCAGTTTCCATCCCACATAGTAGGGAATGTCCTGTTACAACTACTGTTCTCATCTTCTTTTCATAATGTATGGATACAGTGCCTCTGCTTGGCTGAGTTTCAGTCCCTCTCATATACTATAGCTTGTACTCTTCTAAGTTCATATACTTGCTGTCTACCAGACTCCTCATCAAGAACCTGAAAGCAGTTTTGCAGTTCCACCAGTGAAGATAGTCTTCTCCCCTTTTTTGCTTCTAACTGTGACTCTTTTTCATGGTGCTTCCTCCAGCATGTTTGGTCTCTCCTTGACATTCTCTTCTTCTATCTTCCTTTGTTGCTTTTCCCATTCCAGTGCTTCCAATGACTGCTGCTGCTGCTCAAGAGTTCTGCCAATTATAATTCATCTTCCCTTATAGCTTTAAGTGTGGCTACTCACAGCTCCAGCTCTCTCACCTTTTCTTCTAACAGTGCCACCAGTTTGCACTGGCTTCATGTGTATGCCATGTTACACTCAGGCACAAAGATAAACATTGCACAAACTTTGCAGGTCACCACAGCTGACATGTCTCTTCCTCTCATAGTGTCTGTTAGCTTTTTTGCTTTGCTTTGTTTGTCTGTGAATACCCTTTACCTTTGGCCCCCCTTTGGCCTTGCCCACCAAACTCCCCTGTCAAACTCTTGTTAGCTCTCCTTATTTGCTTGCTCTGTTTGGGAGCTCCCTGAGTCTGCCTCGGCTTTATTCCTCAGCTGTGTTCCATTAGGAGTCAGTAATCAAAAAGGACTGGTAGCACACTTAGAGTGTGCAGCTTGCCCAAGGCCGCACAGGCTGGCTCTTCTTCCAGGAAGCACAGTAGAGAATCAAATTCCCACCCTCTGGCTCTGCACACTAAACATGGCATCTGACTTCTATAATGAGTCACAATTACACTTTTACTCATATTTCGAAGTATGTTTTATTTGTTCCCTTTTTATATAATATGAATCAGGAAACTTATGTTTATATTTTTAAAGTATGCTATTTAGAAATGACTTTGGCTGTATCACTTTAGTCATTAAAATAATGTATCAATCAGAAAACAAAATAAAAGAGAAGAAAAAGGAAGAATATAAGTTTTAATATGTATATGCAAGGAGATAGTACATACTCATATGAAAAAAAATCATAGGTACATCTCAAATGCCCATTGGGATTTAAATGAAAGAGTTTAGTGCGTGTTTCTATCACCAGTTGATCTTTCATTTCAGCTACTCTTTTTGAAAAACTGCAGAGGCAAGTAATACTGTATTTTATTGACCTCTTCTTAACACAGAAGAAAGTGGTGAGACAGATATAAAAAACCTTACCTGTAGGAAGGTGAGGGATTTCCTTTAGCTGTACAGTTCAGAAGTACTTCTGGATCTTCAGAATTCACTGAGTAGGTGATATCAAATGGCTCTTGAATAAAAATTGGTCCATGTGGAGGTTCTTCATCTGAGAAATGAGACCATTTTAAATGAATATTCTACTGCTTGAAGTCACATCAAAGCATATCCTGTGACATTCCATCGATTTCACTGTTATTTGCTTCAACCATTGCCACCACAACCATTTTGGGCAAACTAGCCCTTTATTTCAGAAAGTCTGATACTAATTGTTAGAATCACAGAATCATAGAATAATTGAGTTGGAAGGGGCCTATGAAGCCATTGAGTTCAGCTGCTTGCTCAGTGCAGGAATCCAAATCAAAACAGATCTGACAGATGGTTGTCCAATTTTCTCTTGAATGCCTTAAATGGTGGAACCCTCACCACCTCCTGAGGTAATTGGTTCCATTGCCATACTGCTCAAACAATTAAGAGTTTTTTCCTGATATTCATCTGAAAGTTGGTAACTTGCACCCATTATTATGTGTCCTGAATTCTGAGATAATCAAGGATAGACCCTGACCCTCCTTTGTATGACTAATATTTGAAAAATGCTACCTTTTCTTCCTTTAGTCTTCTTTTCTAAAGGATAAACATGTCCACTTCTTTCAGTGTTTCCTCATAGTGAGACATTTTATAAGCATGTCTCATATACCATTTGTAAATACAGGAATATTTTGTGGGACCTGAAGTTAGCTATTTCACTCATCACAGAACAGCAAGATGTACAGAATTGTTGCGTCTTATCATTACAATAATTCTAAATTCAGAGACAATGACTGAGCAAAAATATGGAGAGTGTATCTTCCCATAATGTTGGTATATATATATAATTATACAACACAGAATGTACAGTATATGTGTATATGTATATCTGTATGTTTATGTGTTTGCTGTGATAGACCACAATGTTGTATTTGCATAGCATATGATTCTAACAAATCAGAATGTGTCTGATGTCAGCCAGGCTACTATTGGTATATAAGGCAGGTGTCAGCAGTTCATCAGACAGGGTCCAATATGTGATAGGGCTAGAACCAAATATGTAATAGATGTCAGAGAAGGCTAAACATGTAATAGAGTCTCAGAGAACAATACCTACCTCAAACAGAAATAAAGATGTAACTGACAGGGATTAATAGGGTCAGATAGAGCTTACAAATGTAATAGTGTTACAATGAGATAGTTACTTATTTACCAGAAAAAATATGTCTGTCAATAAACCCAGAGCATGTATGACAAATACCAAATGTCGAAGCACTATAATTTATATTATATTTTACATATGTTTATATATGTATAAATATATACATATTTATACATATTCATGTATATACATAAATATATACATATATTTAATATTTTAACCAAAGCATAAGGAATTATTTGACTATCATAATCCTGGCACAAAACACACAAAGAGGAGAACATATACTGTATTTTTCCATGTATAAAATGACACTTTTCCCTAAAATAATTAGAAGAAAAATTGAGGGTTGTTTTATACAGGGTAGACACATATATGTACCGGATCTTTTTGCGGTACCGGTCTCGAGATGCGGATGTCGACGACGAAGAAGGAGACCGCGAACGGTCGCGCCGACGTCGATGGGGTTTGGTGAATCCCTTTTACAGAGTGAAATGAAATGCTTGAACTTTTTCATCATTAGTGTTTCATTTGACTTTGTTTCTCCCTGCCAAAGCCCCCCTTCACGACCCCCAGCACCTACTGTATTTTTCTGTATATAAGAAGCTACTTTTTCCTAAAATAGACTAAAAATTGAGGGTCGTTTATACACCAAAGTAAGCTGAGGAGAGAACAAAACGGCCTGTACCTTGTCTCTACAAACAGGCTTCCTTCAATCACTGAGGCGTAGCTTCCTACAGTCAGGAGACTTAGCTTCCTCCACCTCATTGCAACAGGGACTTCTAATGTACGAGTGTTCTGAGGCCAGAGGTTGAATAAAGTTAAAGTGTGATGCATAATATGATAGTACTGGTATGTAAATGTTACATAATTACTAAATTAAAAAGTGTTCTGCTTTATGTTTAAAATATCGATTTCTTAATTTTGGGTTAGAAACTGGGGGGGGGCTGTCTTATACGTGGGGTGCCTTACACATGGAAAAATATGGTACCTTTACTCTATACAATAGTGTTTTTTTTTAATCTATAGGCTTCAAGCTGTTGTGTGCAGACTCTGTAAAAGTAAATGCTATATATTACTTATTATATTTTTATTTATTTATTTATTTATTTATTTTATAACCCGCCTATCTAGCCAACTCAGGACCACTCTAGGCAGCTAAAATCCATTCTCAGTGCTTAACACCCTCCTCTCAGGCTTGCCAACACAGGGACAAATGATGGGGACCCTAAATTGCAAATTTAGATAGAGTTTAGCAAAAAAAAATCTTAACTGTTTAATTCACTGTTAGTCAGCCCCAAAATCTAAATAAGTTTACATTTGGGAGGGTACATTTTTAACAGTTGAGCTGATTTTTGGGGGGCACATGCATAGAAAATTTAGGTGAGGTTTAATTAATTATAAACAAGAAGCTCCTGTAAGTGAAGTTGCTTGCCTTCTGCAGATACAACTACAGTGGGGTCTTGACTTAAGAACGGCTTGAGTTAAGAACATTTTGACTTAAGAATCACTCTCACAGGAAAATATTGACTTGACTTACATACTTAGATTTGAGTTAAGAACTGAAAAAAAAACTATGTGGGAGGCAGGGAAAGTGCAAAATTTGAACTTTCAGTTAACTGTTGGCCAGTGAAAAGGGTGCCTGTCTGCTTCCTCACTCCTCCCAGCGTTTAGAGAGTGGATTGGGAGACAGTCTTCGGACTGCCTGGTACTGCCTGGACTGTATTTTCCCTGCCTTCCCTGAATCTTTCTTGACCTAAGGAAAAAAGAAACAAAATATCCCCCTCTAGTGGTCGAAGGCGGAATAGCAGCTTCCCATT